TATAAGATTGTATGGCTAGTTTTTTGCATGTGTATGAAATGATAAATCAAGACAAGTCATTGATTGATTTTTTTTAGGAAATACTAGTGTTGGAGAGTGCGGTCGATCATGCCTTAACAAGTTTAGAAGTTTTATGATGAAATATGACCAGGTAACTGTCTGAAAAGATCATTAACTTTTTAAACTTGAAGTTCTGAAGTACTACTTGTGATTAGTTTCAAAAAGTATGCTGTCATTGGCAAGTATGATGGCACCCATTTGCCTACATTGGTAAGTTTTTATTTTTTATTGACCTCTAATTGCTATTAGGTTGTTTATTGAATTGGAATTGAGATTTCCAAGAGAATTGAGATAGTTTTTCTTTTGAATTACATATCGTATATTATTTCTTTTTTCGACATTTGTTCGTTTTTTAAAAATTTTTATGTAAAGCATATTGGTTAGTCTATGGCTGGTGCAACCTATATCCATGGACATGACAACCCCCTCCCTTTATATGTTATTTATTGAATTGAAAAGATACCAATATTAAAATAAACTGAAGAAAGCACTTGGGAGTGATGCATTGTGGGAGTAGGGCAAATATCTAAATTTTTTTTCATGTCTGAACATTTCTTGAGGTTGTGCGTGTGCAGTCAAAATTTAAACACAACTTCGATTACAAAAAAATTCTCTGTCGTGAAATGCTCATGTTTTTGGCTACGTCAACATAATATATTTATGTTGAAAAAATTTACCATTGTACTCTATATAAGTAAATTGTCACTTTACCAGGCGCATTAAAAACGTTTATAAAATAATTACAATGAAACGAGTGCGCTGATTGGTCTAGAGCCGTGTTTTCATTAGCCTGTGAAAAACACAAAACACATCTGAGCTCAACCAATCAAATCAATGAAAACAATCAATATTAAAAGAAAATTAACAAATCGATCATGAAAACATTTTAGAGAAAAAATTAAAATGTTTGTCTTTTTCCCATTAATGTTATTTTATAAAAGCAATAAAAGATGTTTGTCGTGTTTGCACTGGTTTATGCAAACCTCAGAGACGTTTGTGAGAACTCTCGAGCATGTGCAACCGTCGATCTTCGGTCTCGGACTTTACATATAAATCTGTTAGTTATGATATTAATGTGCATTCTATTTTGTGCTGTTATGTTAAGTTATAATCTTCAAAGCAAACAATCTTAATCAGCTTACTGTAAAAAACCATAGATAACTGAATCCTCGTAAATTACAAGAGCTATCTCCCGTACGGTAAATGTTGTACCAGGGAGAAATGCCCTCGAACTTTTAAAGTGATCTCCGAAGTGCCCTTTTTTAAAGCGAAATCGACGTTTGCTCTTGCGGAACATTAGTATGAATATTAAAAGTATTATTACTTAATGGGTTGACACTATAGACTGACTTAATACTACTAGAGATAGTATAAAGCAAATTCCGAAAAAGCAAGACATCTTGAGATTGCAAAATATGCATCAAAACAAGACGAGAGGTGAACTGTAAATTTTCGTCTTTATTTCAAAGTGATCCTCAGACAGAAGATACATACAGGATGATTTCCAAGGAGGTGCTTTTGTTTGGATTAGATTTTCGGTCGCCACTGTGTGGATATCGCCGTGCCATGTCGCACTATCTTTGTGAAATTCTGTTACTGTGATGGGGCATTATTGGGATGTATTTTAAGGAAGTGTGCTCCATTAAACACATATCACAATTGGTTTTGCTTAACTGTTTGGTATATATGAATGTTTCATAAAGAAATTGTCTATGCGCTGCTCATTCACCATCCAACCTTCTCGGTAAATCCATATCTCTGGAAAATGTAAATATTTGTTGATATCTCCGGGTATTTCTTTGAAAACTGCCCTATTTCAATGATGAGCAACGATCAACAGACCTTGATCACATTCTTTGATTTTCAAAGGACGAGAATTGTTCTGTTTAGCCACCGAAAATGAATTTGCATGAGTACTTTTTAAATGAAAATGTCTTTTGAAAACCATTCGAAACGAACGAGCTTTGCAGGAAAGACAACGGCTCACTGATGCTACTTCGTTTGCTGTATCAAATTTTAACCGGAAAGCATGCTCCTGTAGTGTTGTGTACATTGATTCTTGTTACCATAACATTGATGAATTCAACTAAACGATAATTAACTGCTAAATGCGAACAGCTTAACTCGTTCTCATTTGCCAAAAGCTTAGTTGATGAGCTTTAGTGGAGGCTGTTATGGCTGATTTGGATGCATCTCGAAAATATTCTGTTACTTATCCTAGTGAAAAGCAAAGAAACTCTGCTTTGGATATACTGCGGCCTCCCGGTTTGTCATCACACGTATGTATGATTATCAACACCGACGAACGAATAAGCGCACGCTATTTTGAGTCGTCTTCGATCTTGGAAGAATTCTCTGTAGTGCATATCTTGAATACTCGACTCTTTTAGTCTTTCATAGTGTGTCAAGATCTCTGCCTTTTATGTATGATTTAGGCGTACAACAGACAGCAGTTACACAAGCAACTTTGCGAGGTTTGGTTTGGCTGGAAATTATGCAAGCTATAATAATATTTATCTGACTATTCCATGGCATTTTCATAGGCAGAAAGAGATGCAAACAAACACCCATCCGAACCTGGAAGCTACTATAAAGCCCAAACTAAAGTGAGCTTCTTCGTAACATTCATATCGTTATTGTATACATTGTAAGGCTAATAGCCTTTTTTACCTAAGTCTATTATCTTTATCAAATATCAGGGGTGATGTAATGCCTGAGAATAACTATCGTTTTCGCCGCCACATTTATGTGCTGGGTCAGTGGAAGGGTAAAAGAAGCTGGGGCTTAATATATTTTCACGTAAAATTTTCGGCGCATACTATTTCATTCAACCCATTCTTCAATATCAATTTCTATTTGTTAAAATACCCAATCCAGTACGTGGATTTTGAAAAGAAAAATACAAACAAATGACTATCATTTTGTTTGAAATCTTGAGACAAAGCAAATGACTATTTTGATTTTTACATTTTTAAATTTCAAACGACTAAACGCTTGTATTAACGACCAAAGCTTATTTGGCATTCGTATTTTGTCGTGATTTCATCGTGAGGTTGACTTCCTGGTGATTTTTTAATTTACTGAAAGCGTGAGATTGTTTTAAGGAGGGACCAGTGGGAGGTACTCATAAGAGACTGGGGACTAAATAGAGGAAATACGTTATTATTTGTCGGTGGTCGCAGTTTTCATCCCCAGGTATTCTTGTCTGTACCCGGTCAAATTTAGTTTTCGTTTTATATACGTCTTGAAGCGGGCCCAACCTTCTATTTACGATCGGGTGAATCACGTGTCCGTTGGATACGACCAAAAACTTCACCGTGACGATAGAGCCTTTGCCAAGTCACTTGGGTTACACGTGAACAGTGAGGTAAGAAAATAACGAATTATCGCCAAGTGAGCTGAGTATGTAGATGCGCTGTACTACAAAGGAAGGAATTCCAAGGGTTTGTTAGTTTTGAACGGGCATCTCCACTTTGCGTGTTTTTCTTTAAATATTAGAAACTCACCCACCGGAATCTTTTATATCTTTTGAACAATGCAGGGGGGTTGATGCCTCATGTTAATCTTAGTCATCTTCTACTTTAACGTAATAAAGGAAACTTCTCTTGCCATCCCATGTCTCTCATCATCGATATACGGGCATCCGTCAAGATCCCCCCTGGAGGAAGTCGATCGCAAACACTTCTCGGTCCAGACTTGTAAGAAAGACTTTCTGCGGGTTAGTGGAACGAACATTGGAAATAATAGCGACCTTCATTGATAAACTTTGTGACAGATTATTGTTATTTTCCTTTATTTTGTCATTGGAAGTTGCTCGGTTTGTTATATTGATATAGAAGTAAATGCACACTGAAGTTCCATCGCTCACTTTTTAAGATGACTTTAGTCTTTCAGTTGTCATTTATTAAAGTTATCATTATGCTCTCAAAGCATTTTTATACCATCCAAATTTGCATCGTTAGCAGTGACATTTACTCGACGAAATGTTTGGGGGAAGAGAGACAAAACAAGTTTTTGATATGTGAAAAATGTCTTCTGTTTTTACCTTTTTTTAAGTGAAGTAACATTTGTGTGGCACTGAATATGCAGCAGAAAAGCCAGCCCGTTTTTTACTCTGAAATATTTTTATAGTCGGATTAAACTTCTGGCTGGCTTTGCCACTGAATGTGTGAACAATTGTATAGTTTTGGAAAACGTCAAACCTTAGAAGAGTTTGTTAAACATAGTGTGCTCTTTTACCTATAATTTGAATCAAAACATCTTCAGTGTGATCAATTTTTATGCTTTCTGCTTATAACCAGTCCCCCCGACTACTGAGGGGAGCAATCATTAATAACAAACAGTTATAATGTCCTTTATTTTAATAAAGTTTTGATGAAGACTCTAGTCTTCATTTGTATAGTTAAAAATATAAGTGTCACATGTTTGAAGTGCCATAAATGCCCCTCCCCAAACAAAAAACTTGCTGGCGCCTTAGTTCATAACTCGTAGTGTCTAACGTAAGTGATTCCCCGGTTGTTGAAACGAGACTGGCATATACCGTTCGACTAATGATAAACCGAAACTAGTCTATCTTTTGTGGATATTTGTCATGAAAACAGGTGCTGCCGGTCCCAAATTCATTCGATATGCTGTGGATGTTGTGAGGTATGTGTAATAATGCGCCAAAATCCCGTTTCAAAATCCTTGGTGTGTTGATGAAATCCGATTTTGTGTGAAGGGGATTTTAGTCTCTTTCAAAAAAAATTTGCGTACATTTTTGCTCGCGCAAATATTATAAACGCGTGAGCAAACGAGCGCATGTGTAACGGGCAACTGAAAATTTTTTGTCATTCAAACTGCAACTTTTCAAAAACAAGAGCTGCGAAAGTAAGCACGAAAAATAAGATAAGTCCATTCTCTTTTTGCTGATAATTTACTTGTTGACAACTTTCCTAAAGATGATCTATAGGGACATCTGTGAAGCTAATTTACCCTGGGACGAACAACTTTCTGATAACCTGATGCACCGTTGGCGCAACTGGTGTACTAGAGTACCAAGTATAATTGAAGTGCCCAGGAGTTTAGTCACACACAGAGAAAGGATACAAGCCATAGATTTGCACGCATTTGGAGATGCTAGTGGCCAAGGTACGTCAGCAGCCGTGTATGCAGTTATCCTACAAGGCAGGGGTATCGGTCAAGGACTCATAACAGCTAAATCAAGATTGGCAAAGAAAGGGTTGACCATTCCAAGACTTGAGTTAGTCTCTGCTCAAATGGCGGCAAGGCTGATGGACAACGTGCGATCCGTTCTTGAAGGGTTGCCTGTAAGGCATTGTGTTGGATGGCTTTACAGCATGGTTGCCTTATACTGGATAAATGGAAGTGGAAATTACAAGCAATTCGTAGCAAATCGGGTAAGGGTAATTAGAGAAAAGAATTACATTTCATAGAAGCACGTGGGAACAAAAGATAATCCCGCCGATATTGGAAGCCGAGGCTGCAACGGAGATCAGTTGTCTGAAAAATGGCTTGAAGGACCAAAATGGCTTTCCAACCCTGAAAAATGGCCAAGGGAAGTAATCATAGAAGCTACAGTTGAGACGGAAGCGGAAGTAAAGAAATGCAAGGAGGTCTTCATGCCTGCAGTTCAACTAGAGGAGGACAGGTTTTCAGCAATCTTGGCGAAATACCCCTATTGGAAAACCATGAGAATAACAGCATGGGTGTTCAGGTTCGTGTATAACCTCAATAAAAAACAGCAACGTCGACGGGGTCCACTCACGACTAACGAGCTACAACCACAAGTTCTCTGGTGGCTGAAAAGAGAACAGCTGCGCTTTGAAAACTCGGATCAGATGAGAGAAGACACTCAACGCTTAAACCTTAAGAAAAATGAGAAAGGAGTGCTGGAATGTCGCGCAAGGATGCAAGGAGAATGCCCGATCTACATTCCACCAGAGTCCGAATTAGCAAAGAAGTTGGTCATGCACAAACATTTACGCACTCTCCATGGGGGAGTCAGTCTGACAATGACTGCGGTGAGGGAAAATTACTGGATACCACGTCTTCGACAACTCACAAAAAAAGGTCAGAAGCAGATGCAACGGTTGCAAGAGGTTCCAAGCGAGTGCATTCGCCAAACCACCCACTGGCAACCTCTCAAAGGACCGCACAGAAGGATCACGGCCATTCCAAGTCATAGGTGTGGATTACGCAGGTCCGTTCATCTATAAGAAACGATCAGGTAAAGAAGGAAAAGCGTACCTACTCCTCGCGGGATGCAGCCTAACAAGAGCGGTTCACTTGGAGATGCTACCAGATATGTCAACAGAAGAATTCATGCATAGCTTCAAGAAGTTAGTTGCTAGACGTGGCAAGCCAGATAAGGTGTACTCAGATAATGCCAAGACCTTTGTGGCCGCAGCCAAACGTGTGCGAAAAATCTCAAAAGATGAACAAGTTCATGACTTTCTTGCCAAGAACAATATCAAGTGGCAATTCAACCCAAGCAAGGCCCCTTGGTGGGGTGGACAGTATGAAAGACTGATAGGATTGGTGAAACAAGCATTTTATAAAGTAGTACGTCGATCAAGCCTCACATGGAAAGAATTGGAAGGGGTAATCCTTGATGTGGAGATATGTCTAAACAATAGACCTCTAGCGTATGTGGAAGACGACCACGAATTGCCAATTCTTACACCAAATGCCATGATAACTGGCCAACCGTCCGTCTCAGTGATTGAAAATGATGAAGCAAGTGAAGAAGAGGAATTAAGGAAAAGAGCAAAACATATTCAGCGATGTAAGAAAGCCATATGGAAGAGGTGGACGGGGGAGTATCTAAGATCATTAAGAGAGAGACATAACCTGAAACATGGAAAAATGGGAAAATCTCCAGAAGTGGGTGACGTAGTGCTAATAAAAGGAGAAGAAAGAAATCGAGGAAAATGGAGTGTAGGTATCGTAGAGGAACTGTATGAGGGAAGGGATGGAGTTGTTCGAGGAGCAAAGATTAAAACACGGAAAACGCATATTGACCGGGCACCACAGCATCTATTCCCATTAGAACTACATAGAGTAGAAGATGCAAAAGTAACCACAGAAAACAATACCCTGGATCCAGACGCGAAAGAATTCCGGCCTAGAAGAAGCGCAGCAGTAGTGGCAAGAGAGAGGATGCTGGAAGTCTCAAACTTTGAGGATAGTAGTTCTTAGTGACATTTGTCACTGGCGAGACAAATGGGGGGAGGGTGTCGGAAAGTATAAACAGTTTTGTTAACGCGTGGGTCGCGCGAGACCAAAGTCGGGAAGGGCCGGTTCGTACCGGTAGAGAACAACAACACTTGAAGAAAAGAAGAAAAAGGGTACAGCATGGTAGAGCATTCGATAGCACATTGTAATTGTTTAAAGCGAGAGTGACAATAAATACTTTTAAAACGAAACAGTGAGAGTGATTTTCTGTGTTGGGCAAGCAAATCCCGACATATTTAAAATCATTTGACAGCCAGACGGCTGAATTACATTTTTTGCAAAGTAGTAAATGAAAATAATCGGAGAACAAAAGTTTTCACAAACGTCTCCCAGGTTTGCATAAAACAGTGCAAACACGAAAAACATCTTTTATTTCTTTTATAAAATAGCAATAAGGCAAAACAGATAAATTTAAAGCAAATGTTTTGATTTTCCCTCTAACATGTATTGAAACTTGCTATCCAAATCCTCTTTAATTGATTTCATTAATTGAGCTCAGTTCGGTTTGCACAGGCCAATGCAAACTAAACTGCGGACCAATCACCGCCCAAGTTGTCTTTTTATTATATGAAATATGATAGACCCAGTTGTATGATTGGTCCATTCCTTTGGGAAAAGATCTGACTTGTCCAATGGGGTTTCCTTATGCTGCAATGATGAACTTATTAAAATCTACTGAATCTATCGAATGTTGATTCAAACCGAGCTTTTTATAACTGAGCAGCAATTGTAACGACGTATTTTTTTCACACATGTAACCCTCGCAATTCAAAAAATTTTGTCTCGGCATGAAAGGCATTTTTGGCCAAGACAAAGGTATGAAAAAAGCAACTTGCCTCCGAGACAATATTTGATGGTTGCGACTATTTTTACATCGTTTATTGGTATGAAGTGTAACGTACACACAAAAATCATTATAAAATAACAGCGCATGCGCTGATTTGTCTATAGCCGTGTTTGCATGAGCCTGTGCAAACCGATCTGAGCTCAACTAAATAAATCAATTGCAATGACCTAGAACCCAATCTACTAGATATCTGACTCCGCCGATATTCTTTACCAATGAGTTAGGCAAGCCGCCATCTTGAAAGTTGGCGAAACTGACGATATTTATGATTAATATCTGCTTTTCCTGAGTTGATATAGTGGTGCAAAGGTGATAATCTATGTTTAATTATTAAAATGCTTGATAGGATGGGTTTTTTAAACTTTTTTTTAACTTTTCATTTTGAGTTTTGTTTTTTGCCACCTTTCAAGATGGCGTCCTTGCCTCAGCTTGAGACGGTAGTTAGACATCTAGAGGACTGGGTTCTAAATCATTGATCAATTGTCACCGTCATATTTAAGTCAAAGGTTTATAAAGGAAATCCAATTCACGATCACGCCCTCGGGAATCTAAATGATCTTGAAATGAAAAATATCGCAACTGTAACTGGCCTCAGAGAACATGGAACGCACTAAACTAGATGAGAACTGAAAAGCGATTGGAAATTTGAACATGTTTAGATATAAATTGAGAATTGGACTTTTAGAAGGAAATATACATTTTAACTAGTTTTAGCACCGTAGATTAAGTAATTCTTTACCATACCCTTGTAGATTGTGATTGAAAAATCCCGTTTCTGGGAATGCGAATTACTAAAGTAAATTAAAATAAAATTAAATGTGGCAAAGATTGCGCAATACGTGGAATACAAAATTTAAAAAATCATCAACTTCCAACATGTTTAAAATTTAGAATAATGACAGATAATATTTAAGAGGCGGCAATAACAACTATGAACTTGGAAAACCTAAAGCAACTCAAATGATGAAGATTTTTACTTGCTGCATCACCTTAGAATGGCCTCTCAGTTATAACGAATGAAAAACACATAAGCATTATTAAATTTAAACGTAGTTTTGACTTCACTTGACATATTATCAACAACCTGGTGAATATAAAGATGTAGGGTACGATTTTATATGGTATGACGAACTAATGCACGTGTGTCATAATTTTTGTTCCTATAGCCAATATTTTTCACCTGTAACATGTAGCTTAATAGCTTGTTATAATTTTTCTTAAACGGTTTTGGGTCCAACGACCTCTTAAAAGTCAGGTGCCTGCGAGACTGGAAGTCTTGAAGAGCTACCGTTTTTAAGTATTTTTAATTGATAATTATAATAACAATCAAAAATAACAAGATTTTATTTCCTTATTTATACATGCCTAGCGATATTTTTTGATTTCCTGCAATCTGATTGGCTGCAGCAGCGGGCGGCTTTTTACGATATCTTGACCATAGTCCAAAAGTGTTATATTTTTGCAATAGATTTGTTTACAAAGTGAAAATTTTAAAATTGATTTACAAGCCATGTATATTCTTCAAGGAGAACGCAAAAAATGTATTCACATTGTAGCTACATAACATTTTGAGAGTGAGTTCCACAATTCAGACGAAGTAAACTTTGTAGAAAACTATCCAATTTCAGTCCCAACTAGCCACGTCGATCGTTTTAAAACGTGATATGCTTCGTTATAAAAATAAAAGCTTTATTTACCGTTTAGGGTCAAGGGACACTACTGAAGCCGAGGAAAATATTTTTTCAGTACGGATCTCTCAACCAGTAAATACCATATGTATAATCACATAACAACTAAAGAATTTGTGTTTACCAAGATGCATTACGCTTGACGGCCATTTTGTGGGTCGAGAAAATGGCGGAGTTTGTTTTTGTAGTCCGTGCAACTTAAACAAACGACGATAATTAATGTAAAATAGAGTTTTTAAATCAATGTTTTTTGCTAACTTTTCAGATTAATTAGACGACCTAGAGACCAAATTGAATTCATTGTGCTCAAGCTCAAAAAGTAACGATGAACATAAACAAAAGCGCGCAATGCATCTTGGTTGACACGCCTTTTTTAAAGGTGTATAAAACCACTAGCAACACCATTATATTATGGAAGTAGCGGTCTTCATTGCTCTGACATAATGGAAGTCAACCGGCATCGCCGAATATTTTACTTATTGGAAATGGTTGTATTTGAAATGATCAGTGGCACGCTTGCTTCAAGATAGGCACAGTCACGTGCTTGTCTTGATGCCTGAATATGGTCTTGTGTTGACATTCACAAGTGCTCAGGGGCCATCTGATCAAATTGCTTTCTCCCATAATGCCTAGTACATTAGGAAATTGCATATTTTATTTTTACGCCGGTCTGCGTCACAATGCCAATTGCATCAAGAGTGGATATACAAAAATACTAATGTTTTATCCAGGGGGGCAGATAGCGAATTGCTATTACTGGATAGCAATTTATAGAGCGTTTGAAAAGTGTGGTAAACGGAAAAAGAAACGATTTGAAACGAGCAATGATCGAAACAAACCAATAGTTCTAAGGCAACTATAAGGTTTCAGTTTTGTAAAGAAAATCCAACCACGTTTTTTCATACGTTTAAAAAAGTCACCATCCAAAGGATAACACCAATCCGTAGGTCTTCGCTCAACGGACCCTCCGTCTATACTCAGTCTGTTCACATCACTGGTTCGCACGCCATAATGTCAGTTTTATTGTTGGCGGACATCACGTACACAGCGTAAGGACTTGTCCGTGGGCGGTAAATTGGGTGTGGCGTGGGTTGTATTTTTGTCTGTAGCAAAAGGTTTAAAAGTTAGTATGGTTTTGCCGTATATATCCAAAACATTCTTCGAAATGTTAGTTAAGCACATCATTAGTTTCAGCGTTGCGAGTTGTCCATCGGTTGCCATTAGTATAATATAAAACAAATTCCGAAGAAGCAAGACATCTTGAGATTGCAAAATATGAATCAAAACAAGACGATAAGTAAACTGTAAATTTTCGACTTTATTTCAAAGTCATCCTCAGGCAGAATCTTGTCATGAATCATTCTGTCTGAGGATGACTTTTTCTATTCGTCTTGTTTTGATTATTATATCTTCTTTAAATTGTCGGCTGGTCATGGTTTTTGGTTGCCATTAGTGTGTGCTGAATCGTTATCTCAGTCAGTATTGAAGGTTGAAACGTTGGAATTGTTTAAAGAATCGTTTTGCTATCTTAGCGTAAGTTTCCCGAAAAAGTTAATGACAGACATCATCATGTTCGCAGCGGAGAGAGAAATCTATGGGCTGCCAGTTGGCTGCGGCTTAAATCATATTTCAATCAGCAATGAAAGATTAAAAAGTTAGGGTTGTGTAAAATGGTGGTTTTGCCGTCTCGGCTTAAATTCCTTCTAAATGTTATTGACACAAAACGGGAATTTCATCTTTGTGAGTAGCAAAGAAGAATTTACTATGACCAATAGAAAGATCTTGTGTAATCGAATCTTTCGTTCAATCAAAATTTTTATGTTAAAGATGTTGTGAGAACACCACCGCATCCCTGCATGCTGTACTCGCGTCCCGAGAATTACATAACATACTCTTCATTCCTCTATTTTTGCTTACAACGATCGATCATCTAATGTTGCCAATGCATTAAATCGTTTTGTTGTCCATAAAGGGTCATTATTTTATTGCCCGGCCTCCCAACCCTTGCTTGCCGAGACTTTGCACTCGTTGTTTATGAATAGTCATGCGCAAAAGGTATCACAGAAAACGAAAAAATAAATGGTTTTAGCGAAATGAAGGACGATTGAATTGCAGAAAAATATGTAAGGTTCGCCAAGGAGGAAGTGGCTTTCGGTAAAAAAATTCAAGCTGTGTTGCAGTGTTATGAAATGGGAAAAAGCAATTAAGTTGTATACAGAAATTTGCATGATGAAACAGAAATTTGCATGATTTGCACGGTAAAAGCAGAATGATTACACGAAAAAGCGTGGGAGGAAAGTGTTGTACGCCGTCAACAAAGTCCAAATCATTGTATTTCATTCGTTATGTATTTTATTTATCTCTGTTTTATTTAACATACAAAGCAATGCCAAGCATCCCTTCGTCTTGTATAGATTGCCTTATATTTC